GGGTCCTGCGAGGTAGAGCTGTGTAGATCCTGGGATCCCCCCACCTCTCTTCCTAGCCAGTCTAAGCCATGCCCTACCTCCTATCTCAGTTCCATCTTCCCTTATTGCTGTCTTAAAACTCCTAGTCATTTATCTGTGAACCTGCGATTTATGAGTAAAGTCCCTTAAAGTAATGGAGAAGATAGGGGGAATGACACACACCTATAATCCCAGCCCTCTGGGAGGCTGAAGCAGGAGGATCACAAGTTCAATCCAGCCTGGGCTTTTTAGTGGTTAAGGGAGACTCTGTCTCAAAATTAAGAAAAAAATTTTAATGGAGAATGAGCACAGTGGAAGACATACAATATGTGTTTGTGTGTGCTCACACCACTCCTTGCCACCCATTTGCATGTCACATTTGTCACACACCACGCACAGAGTTCTGGTTGGGCCTATGGTACTTGGGCATTCACTGTGACTCCTGGTGGCCCAAGCCCCTGCATTTTCCTTTGAAACAAGTTTTTCTTAAAGGAAGTTATTTGTGTTGTAACCAGTAAGAACAGCTATCCTGGCCTTGTTAGTTTTGTTTGTTGGTGGATTTTTTTTTTTTTTTTTAATAATAGGGGTTGAACCAAGAGCCTCTGCGCTGAGCTAACTCTCCAGACCTTTTCTTTTTTTTTGATACAAAGTCATTACAAAGGTCTCACTAAGTTGCCCAGGCTGGGCACAGACCTGTATTCCTCCTGTCTCAGCCTCCCAGAGTGCTGGGATTTCAGATGCTCACCACCAAGTCCAGCCATCATATCCTTTTTCATTTGAATCACACACCTGTGTTAGGCACCTGCTATGGCTCAGTCTGTGTTAAAGGTGTGGATCCAGGTGCTGCCAGGAGGTGGTGGAATCTCTAAGAGGCAAGGCTGAGTCCAAAGGCTTTAGATCACTGGGGGGCCTTGAAGTGGGCAGAGGACCCCAGTCCCTTCCTTTTTCTGGTGGTGAGCTGAGCAGTTTTGCTTGCCATGCTCCTCCTTCCCCCCAAGGATGTGTTGCTTTGCCACAAACCCAAAGCAACAAGGTCAACAAATCATGGGCTAAAACTTACAAAATTGTGAATCCAAACAAACCTTTTCTCTTTATAAGCTGATTCATCTAAGGTCTTTGTTACAGCAGTGGAAAGCTGACTCACACACTGAAATGATGACATTAGAGAGGGAAAAACAGGACAATGCATAGTTCCTTTTCATTCTCATCAGTAAGCAAAAGGTAGAAGGTCAGCAGAATGTGTCACGTCAGGTCATATTCTTACATGGACTGGAAAAAACAATGTTTGTTGCTGGTCATTAAAAAAAACCTTACAAAACATTAAGAAAAACATAAACATCCCAATAAAAAATAAAATTAGCAGGGCCAGGGATTTAGCTCAGTGGTTCCACCGCCTGCCTCGCAAGCACAAGGTCCAGAGTTCAATCCCCGGTACCAAAACAATAAAAGAAAAGAAAAGAAAAGAAAAGCACAAATAGGCACATTACAAAAAAAATTTCAAATGACCAAAAATAAACTTAGTAAAATGTTGTATATAATAATAGAAAAAATAAACTTAAATAAAAATAACAATGATAAATAATTTTCTACCCAGAAGCTTGGAAAAGATAAAAATGAAAATATCAGCATCTACTACAAGCCTAAAGTGCAAAACAACTAGGGGACAATTTGAATACACAGATCAAAATATTAAACAGAATAGCTCAGCAGTGATACTGCTAGGAACCTACCAAGGAGATAACGGCATCTATGCGCATGAACTTGCAGGTATTCACTACAGAATGATTTAGAGTAGCTAAAAATTACAATAACCTAAGTGTCCACCCATAGGTGCTGTGATCTAAATGTTTGTGTTCCCTTAAATTCATGTTAAAATTCTAACCCCCAAAATGACTGTATTACAGGTGGGGCCTTATGGTGGTGATTAGGTTATGGAATGGAGCCCTCAAAGCAGAATCAATGTCCTTATAAGAAAGATCCCAGAGAGACTCACTGCCCCTCCTACAACATAAGGAAGATTGAGAAGGTGCCATGCATGAACCAGAAACAAGCCTCACCAGATACCGAGTCTGAGTGCCTTGATCCTGTACCTTCAGCCTCCAGGACTGTGAGAAATAAATCTCTGTTGTTCATAAGCCACTCACACTGTGGGGTTTTGTTCCATTAGCCTGAACAGACCAAGACAGAGGGTACAGGTTAAATCAATTATGGTCCATCATATAAGTGGTTAAAAAGGGATTGGAGGGCCGGGATTTAGCTCAGTGGCGCCGCGCCTGCCTCACAAGCTCAAGATCCTGAGTTCGATCCCTGGTACCAAAAAAAAAGGAATTGGATACTGTGATAGTTCACTGGTTGGGTCAGCTTGATTAAGAAATGACCAACTAGACCTGCTCAGCACAGGGCTGGGTGTGGAGGCCCCACCCTAGGGAGGACTGTCGCCAGAATGGTATAAGAGGGAAACGCAGGAAGGCTCGCTCCTGCTTCTTCTGAGGAGCTCCAGGCTTCACCTTCACCTCAGACGTCATTTCCTGGCTTCTGGCTGCAGACTCTTCAGCCTGCAGCACCGACGCTGCAGCCTTCCATCGAAGACCCTTCACCCCCTGATACGGACTCCCATGGGACACTACAGTGGGCTCCAGGCCTTCGAATGGATCCTTCGGATCCCCAGAGTGCAGGCTGACCCTTTGTACTCTTCCACACCCGACTCTGTGGGCGGCCATTGTAAGCCGATCTATAATCCGTATATATTTGTATATCTTGTATTATATCTGTTTCTCTATGGCCGAGGATGTGGCTCAGTGGCACCAGGCCTGCCTGGCAAGCGCAAGGTCCTGAGTTCGAATCCCAGTACCAGAAAAAAGAAAAAAGAAAATCTGTTTCCCTAGTGAGCACTGACAGCTACCAGATACCTTCTATATGTACAAGTATGAAAAAAATATGCAACATATTGTGAATTTTTAAAAGAAAACTGTAGAACATAAAGAGCCTGTGTGGGGAAAAATGTGTATATAAAAGCTCATATATTCTTATAAATTTTTCTAGAGAAGATCATATTTTAGGGTTACCTTTGGGTGGTAGAATTAATTATTGGGAAATGACTAAATGAGATTACTTTTTATTTTATGCACCTGTAATGTTTAAAAACTTTTCAAGAGGAAAAAATAAAATAATAAAGACAAATGTTTTGGTAGCATATATCTTTCCTGTAATGTAAAAAAAAAAAAAAACCTGGATGTTAAGATAAAAAGTTAAAATAATTTATTACACACCTGGACAATAGAATATTAAATAGCCATTAAAAATGGAACCACAAATCTACGATATTGATCTCAAAATACAGTCACAACATATAGGTCTACAAGAAGAAAGGCAGGTTATGGAACAAAACATGTAGCACAGTCACATTTTTATAAAATTTTGTATCTGTTGAGAGAAGAGAGTCAGCTATCTGGAAAGATGTTCATCAAATATTAATAGAAGTTATCTCTGGGTAGTGGTACTTTTGTGATTTTTTTGCTTTTTTCTCCATACTTTGTTATACAATTTTTATGAGTATGTACCTTTTTGTGAATGAGAAAAAAAATCAAAAATCTATTTCCATTTGAATGTTTTAATATGCACTCAAAGAGAAGAGTAAGGAAGTTCCACACAATGAATAAAAAGACATTTCTTCCTGATTCCCGATAGTATCCTTCAGGTCAACATGAATAAAGATTACCACCTAGAACCTTCCTATCTTCTGATTTGAATATTTTTGCCCCAGTTTTGCTAACTCTACTAAGAACAGTATATCAAACCCTCCCCACTCCATGGAAGTTCATCCCTGATCAATCTATTCTGAAATAATATATTTTCAAACACTGGACAAGGGAAGTAGGTCAGTAGCCAAGCACGTGCTTAGCATGCAGGAGGCCAGGGATTTGGTCCCCAGCATCAAAAGAAACAAAAGTAATATCAAATGTAATCATGGAGTTTTTTCTAAACTAATGTATTTTTAATTTTTCATTTATCTCTTAAGCACTGTTTAATGCTTTTTAAAAAATAAAGTACTTACTTGGCCTACTATTAGCTCTATATTTATTAATATGCAGGTTTATCCTCCCAATTTTGTCCTGAGGGTAGTAATTATTTCAAAATTCACAAAGACTCCCTTCCTTATCAGTCTTTCCAATAATTCTTACCAGAGAAAATGGCAGTTTTATCCTCCTTTCCACAGAGATTTAGAGACCAAAGAACTATTGTGAATTCTCACCTGGCGAAGAGTTAACTGCATTTTTCTGAATATATTACAGGACATTTATTAGTAGACTATGAAGTATTTATAACCAGTAATTAAAACTAAGCTGTTCTTGGTGTAATAAATGCAGAGTCAGAGAGACAATACTATTACTTTTTATTGTTTATTTGCTCTTCCTTTAATCTAATATAGAAACTCCTTTCCTAATGTGCTAAAGCATTTATCTTAAAGCTGAAGTTAAATGAAACTGTTTTTTTACAAAGAAGATTCAGGAAAAGCATCTAAAGTCATTACAAAAAGATTTTTAAGGCAACAGTACAAGAACCCAGGAATGTGTGTATGCTGGTTGTAGAAATAAATGTAAATTGTCTTTAAAAAGATAAGAAGGCAATTCTCCACATGGAGGAACCTTAAAATCATTCCATTTATAGTCTTATCCCAAAGAACTAATCATGAATATGTATCAAATGATGGCTACCAGATAGTCCAAACACTGAGGATGAGTTTCAAAAACTGTCTAAACCATAACACATTTTGCAGCTATCAGAAAGTCTTGTAGCCAGGCATAGTGGTGCACACCTATAACCCCAGCACTCGGGAAGCTGAGACAGAGGATCACAGAGAGTTCAAGGCCAGACTGAACTACACAGCGACACCCTGTTTTTTAAAAAAAAAGAAGAATGCTAGGCGTGGTGGTACACACCTGTTATCCCAGCACTTGGGAAGCTGAGGCAGGAGGATCACCATGAGTTTGAGGTCAGCTGGGCTAAGGCCAATCTGAAGTACAGAGTGAGATCCTGTCTCAAAAAAAATAATTAATTACAAAGGGAAATGAAAGACAAGCAGCTTACAAAACAGTACATATAATATGATTTCATTTTATAGATAGATAGAAGTTGAAATTGGAAATATATGAACCAAACCATGAATATTAATAAATTACCAAACCATGAATGTCAATATCTGGATGACAGAATTATGGGTAAGATATACGATACTCTTCTATGTCCCTACCTGAATTTTTCAATTCTTGCCATGTGCTTGTGATCCCTTTTTTACTATATTACTTTTATAAAGAGGAAACATTCCTTACTGAGAGATAGCAAGTGCCCTCTAAATACTTGTTGAGTGAATGAGTTCAATTTCTTTTTCTATATAGTTCTCCTGCTTTGAGAACTCTCCATATATGCAAAATTGTAATCTGGGAAAGAAAAGCTTTAGATGTAACCCAAACCCACTCACGCTAGGAGTTGAACGAGTAGACCAAGAATTGTCTCAAAATGTCATCACACACACAGGGACACATTCACGCGCGCACACACACACAGGCACATGCACACACACACTCGAAAATTGAGTGTTTCACATTCTAACATCAGCTCAGTGAAGCTGCATAAGGATAATGGTGTAGGGACATCCACAGGTGACAGCCTTGCCAAAAACCGAGATGTATCTGAGTGTCCTAAACTCACAGCCTCTGGTCATCTAAAACCTAGCGGGCCTAGTTTCTTGTGAACCTTCACGATGCACATGTGCACACACATGTGGGGCAGACCTCGAGGCTGGCATAAGTTGTCTTTGCTCTCCAGGCCCCTGCCACAGCGTTGTTGACCCACAGACCTCTAGGAACTTCACAGAGCGCAACTTAGTTCACACCTAAAGTTACAGCCCCGCTTTGAAACACTTTATCGCTTTTGAAGATACTGTTGTTTTGATAATGGTGGGATGAAGTTTACTTTAAATTCGTATCCGAAAACTTTAAATTGCTTAAAACGGAAAACAGTTCTGGAATTCCTGACCAATGTATATGCCTCAGGATCTGGCAAAAAGCCACATAGACCAATATCACAGTGAGCTGCCATGATGCCCCCTAGTTCCTTGTAAAGTTTTGGGATTGTAAACAAATTTTGTAATTTAGAGTGCATCTCTGGTATGAAAATCATGATAGAGAAGCTAGGCTTGGTGGTGCACATCTGTAATCCCAGCACTCTGGGGGCTGAGGCAGGAGGATCACAAGTTCCAGCCCAGTGACTTATTGACCCTGTCTCAAAATAAAAAAGGGCTGGAGATGTACCTTGGTCATATGAAGGCCCTGGGTCCAATCCCTAGAACCACCAAAAAAGAAAAAGAAAAAGATGGGATGTAAACAAAGTAATGCCACACCGACCTGTCTTGTTCCCCGGTTCTGAGACAACTGGTTTATGGTCTGTCTGCTAGAATAAGAGGGGACATGATGATCATCCATGAAAAACTTCCTATTGTTTCCATTTAAACAACCTGAAAACAAAGAATTCCCCTACTGCGGGTTTCTTTCTCCTTGACCATCCAATCAGAAGATTCCCACGTAGTTTTCATGGTGCAAAATGCCAGTTACATCAAGAAAATGAAGCTGCAATCTCTTCCTCCAGCTCTTGGGGTGATGAGAGGGCTCGGGGAGACAATTCCCTGCGACTCGCGTCTCGGGGCAGATTCCAGTGCCAGCCCCTCTTGCAGGGCTGTCCTTGGCTGAGGCCCTAATCCCGGAGACAAGCCCCGTCTCAGCATGGTTCACCCAGATGCCAGGATTCCAGGGCCATGGAGCGGGGAAGAGAAAAGGCGGCCACCAACTCTTCTTTCTCTTGCAATGAGTTCTGAAGGCTTTCTTTTTCCCGAAGAAATAATGAATGCCTCTTACAAGCTGTCGGGGAAAATGTCCTATTTGGAAGTAATTGAAAATATGTTTTGCAGCCACATCCGAACCCTCTTCCAAATAGCTTTCTTTTCTAATTAACGACCACAGTGCTGACATCGCTGGGTAGAGAGCGACATCTAGTGTGTGAAAACAGAATAGCCCGCTGTGCGAGTGGGTGAGGGCCTACCATGCAGGTTTGTATGATTCTTAAACGCTCCCGTTCAAATACAATAATGGCCAGATGGAAATCCTGTAAGTTTCATAAGCACCTGGAATTAGGGAGAGTCTTTTCTCTTTAGATATTTGAGAAGTGTTTGCTGTTTCAAGGCATATTTTGTCTAAGAAAACATGTGGCCCCTAATAGTAATTTGTATGGGAACAAGATAGAATCATAACACCCCTTTTTTTCTTTTTTTCTTTTTTTGGTACCGGGGATCAAACTCGGGTCCTTGCACTTGCGCAGCAGGCGGCAAAACCACTGAGCTAAATCCCCAGCTCTTTTTCTTTTTATTGAGAGTCAGACTCAGAACCTTCAAACTGATCTACATCCTCAGCCCTTTTTATATGTTGTTTTGAGGCAGAGTCTCACTAAGTCACTAAGTTGCTGGGGCTGGGCTTGAACCTTTGATCCCCCTGCCTCAGCCTCCCTGAGTGTTGAGATTGTAGGCACACAACACCATCCCAGATGGGGCTTCACCCTATCTTCATAAAAGAAACTACCATCTTTGTCCTCCTTATCTGTTCTGCCTATGAAGGAAAAATCTTTTTAAGCAAATACATATCCGTAGCCAGGCCACATTTGCTTGCTCAAGTCAGGATTCATCATTAAAAGTATGTCCTTGGGGCTGTGGATTTAGCTCAGTGGTGCTGTTGCCTGCCCCTATTCGATCCCCAGTACCGTACCAAAAAAAGAGAAAAAAGTACCTTCTTGTTCTCAGTAAGTCATGTCTAGATATAATATAGAAGACAAGAATTATTGACCAACTGAAAAATGATGGGGTCCTGTCAAATTTATTTAACTTATCTTTTCCAATTCCAAAAGCTGAAAAGTCCTTTCTTCGTTGAGGCAGTGGAATAGGATCCTGAAAGCCAGCAGCAATCCCAACATAAGAACCTTTGGAAAAACCTGAAGTCTAAAGTTGGCAACGACTCCATTTTTGAAGATCAGGTAACTTTCCCTCAGGATAAAGCCTTATGCCAAATTCTTGGGATTTGCTAATTTAATGTCTGAGGTATCAGTTACACTCAAGTAGCTCCAAAGATTCCTCAGAATTTTTCAATTCATTGAGATAAACGTAAATGAAGCCTGATGGAGTCTCAGCCTTGTGACACTCCAAGTCTTTACACTCTCTGACACTTAAAAACCTAATCTCTAGTTCTTAGAGGGAAAAAAAAAAGCACCAGAGAAGAAAACTTTTCCTTTTCTTTTCTTTTTCTCTTCCTTTACAGAGGGTCTCACTATCTAGCCCAGGCTGGTCGCGAACTTGAGATCATCCTCCTCAGCCTCCCAAGTGAAATTACAGACATGCACAAGGGTTACCAAGATGTACCAGTATGAGCAGTTTAAGAGAAAATTATTAATGAATATTGAAATCCAATTTGGGAAGAGCTTGAGCCTCATACCATGTATGGTTTTTTATAAGAAAGAGAATTTTAAAACGTGTCTATTTAGGCCCGGGGATTTAGCTCAGTGGTTCTGCCCCCTGCCTCGAAAGCGCAAGGTCTCCAGTTCGATCCCTGGTACCAAAGAAAAAAAAAACAAATTAAAAAACAAAACAAAAACACCCATATCTATTTGGAACCAAAACAGAAATCCCAAAAGCTTGTTAAAGTTGAATATCATAAACAGCACAAAAATTAGAAAAAGACCTTGATATTTTACTATCTGCACAAGGTATGCTTTTTGCTATATCTTCAGGCTACATATCCTTTGCCTCTTCTTCATATCATGAGATTTTGTAAAAACCTCTTTCCACAGAAAGAATAGAATGATAATTCAGCCCTTCCTCTCTTGTGACTGATCAAAGCATGTTTTTTTAAAAATACTATTTTATTGGTACATTTTAGATATACAATATAATGACATTCATCACTAGAAATTTGCACCTTTACATAGTCTCTCTTGGTTCTTATTTTTCCCCCTTCCCCTGCCCTCCCTTCAACCCCTCCATCCCTCCCTATTTACAGAGACTTTGTTTCCATTTTTTCATTTTCTCATATTAATTCCATTCCCTTCTTTCCTTTCCCCTACCCCTCCCACTTCCCCTTCCCCTTTGCCCCTTTTCTTCCTATTTCACAATATCTATTATACCTTTTAGTCCTATTTACACTTCCAGTTTCTCACACTAGAGAAACTATTCGGTATTTACACGTGTGTCCTATTTATTTCACTTGAGAGTTTTGCCTCAATGTGCATCCATTTAGCTATAAATGTCTCTAATTTCTCATTTTTTATGGCTGAATAGTACTCCATTTTATAAAAAACCAAATTTTCTTGATCCAGTCTCCAGTTGATGGGCAGTTGGGCTACTTCCAAGTTTTAGCTACTACAAATTGTGCTGCTATGAACATGAGTGCACATATATCACTGTGGTATGATTTTTTTAATTCCCAGCAGGGAAATAGCTAGGTCAAATGGGACTTCCAGTCTTAGTTCTTTGAGGTAGCTCCATACTGATTTCCACAGTGTTTGCACCAGTCTACACTCCCACCAGCAGTGGAGCAGCGTTCCTCATTCCCCACAGCCCCGCCAGATCAAAGAATGTTTTAATTGGAAACTTAGATTTCTTTTAGGGCTGGGGCATAGCTCAGTGGTACAGTGCTTGCCTAGCATGTTCATGGGTCTGCCCAAAAAGAAGATTTCATTTTTTTTAATATATAAAAATTTCTTTTAAGTTCACAGCTCATTATTGATTCTGGCTTAGTTACTTTTCTTGGGCTGAGACAAAATACCTGAAAGTTAAAGGAGGAAAGGTTTTGGGGTTTTTTCCCCTTCAGTACCAAGGATGGAACACAGACACTTACCAGGAAGGCATGGTGCTGCCAACCTACAGCCCCGGCACAGAAAGGTTTGTTCAGCTCACAGTTTGTAGAGGTTCAGTCCATAATCAGTGGGCTCCAATGCAG